TGCTTTTAAACTATTAAAATGATTGACACATGATACTTTATATTGACATAAACTATTATAGGTAATGTGCTAACAAGAAGTTTGGATGAAACTATTTTTGGCATTTTAAAGAATTTCTGCTCTCCTGGATAATTTTTTCACACTGGAGAAGATATTTATCTCTTTTTTTCAGAGCCAAACCACATGTAGTATCATCTGCACACGTAAATTACAACTACAAGATGTTTTTATAAGTGCATATGTTTTTTGAATGCATAAGTATTATAAAAATATGATGGGGTAGGTGCCAACAACATTTATAAGTTTTAATTCAGTACTGCCAGGAGCCTACATTGATTATGAACAGAAAGGTTGTTTACCAGATTGCCACATTTGCTGTTGTAATCTCATTTCCCAGTGTTAATTAGAGTTTGGGAGTTATACATAGTTATGTAAAGAAATTTTGCTGTAGCAAATGAGATTTCATAATTTAGACTCAATAAAGTGTTTCAGGTCTTTTTTCTGAGTTATTATTCAAGACTATTATTATTTATTTTCCTTAATTTTTTAAAAGAAATAATTAATTTTATTATGTTTAAAAATTTCTATAGGGAACATGCACTCACCAGAGAGAGAATGAGAGAGAGAGAGAGTGAGAGAAAGTGAGAAAGCAAGCCACTAGGTCCAGGATTCAGACAGTGGTATGCCATGTGGGATTCTAGTGCCTTAACCACCACACCAACTGCTGGCCCCAGCATATCTAATAAGCCAGTGATTTCTAACTCACACTTGAAGGCCCAAGAGCTGTTTCTCTTGAGGTGTTTTTGCATATAATTTTTCCTAGTTAATGAAGTTATAACCGTCCTTGAAAATGTAATAGTTGTTTAAACATTAATTCTGGATGGACTCTTGGTTTAATACATTATGTGGTGGTGGGGCTGGCAGGTGGCATGGTGGTTAAGGGCTCTGGGCTCCTACATGGCTAACCATGGTTTGATTCCCGGACCTGGTGGCTTGCTTTCTCACCTTCCATCTCTCTCTCTCTCTCTCTCTGCTCTTGCTCTGTTCCTATCTGGTCAAATAAAAAAATAAATAAAATAGATAAAGTTAAATAAAATAATTCTTGGTTGGAACCCCAAGTAAACTGATTAACTAGGTAATATAGCCTATAAACATTCCAACTTACATACTTTGTTGTTTTCAACTCTATGTAAATATATAATAGTAAACATGTATGATTCTTTGAATTGTCTTCCCCAAATGCTATTACTACTAGTCTATAACTAAGTAATTAAATTTGATTTGTAGCTACATTAATTAACCTTATCACTTTCTTGTACAGTTAGACCTCAGAAAACAAAATAATATTCTATTATAATTATTGCCACTAACCTAGCATATTAGAGAACAATAATTAGCAGCATTTCAGATTTGCAGATATCATCTACCAAACCACAAATTGAATTAGCATAGTCTTCATTTATTTTTTATTAGCTGTTGAAAGTCAGGATTAATTGGCATGGTTTTATTTGCTATTGACTGAGTTTATCCAAAAGCATGTGCTAGCTATAATTTTATCTACTTACTGGACTTTTGCATTGTAATTTAAATATGTTTTGCTGAGAAATTATTTTAGGAGAGGGTACAAGCACCTTTTATCACTTATTAGAATTTTTCTCAAAAATACATTTTGATCTTGAAATAGTCAAATTGAAATAATTCAACTCATGTAAGAATATGAATCAATAGGCACAGACATTCTTATGCATTTAATGACTTTTAGTATAAAAATCAGGAATCCATCTTGTTCTTGAAATCAAAGAATCAACACAGCTAATACTGTCTCTAAGTCTGCATCCCTGATCAGATTGGACTCTACTTCTATTTTGGTTTATGGTTCCTTGAAATTAGATAATATTTAAGACCAGGATTTGGGACCAGTAGTTGCCATAATGGTTACCTTGCTGGACTCCCACACAGTCCACCACGGTTCAAGTCCCAGACCTGGCAGCATAAAGCTCATGCCAGGCACATGTGTGTGTGTGTGTGCCCAAGATCCCAAGAGGAGACTAGAGAAGGGATTGTGGCATGGCCATCCCCCCAATGAGTGATTTCTCGCTTTCTATTTCTCTGTCTTTCTGTCTCTCTGGCAAGTGCACTCACCCTATAGCAACAAAAATACCTTTCTAAAAAAAGTTAAAAGACCCAGATTTTCCAGGATTCTCTCTATGGTACTCTGGAAAGAGTCACAAATTCTACCTTCACATACAGCATTAAACAACAAAAGTTTTTCAAAGTACTTAATAAAGTTCAGTAGTGTCAACAACTCTGTCTCTATAGTGTAGCTTTTGAAGAAAGTCATCTCTCAAAATTGACTATGGAACTGGATGAGATATAAATTCATTCATAACGATAAGTTCGGTTGTGTCTATGTAATTCAAAATCATGCATGATGACAAACTTCCTTTTCCTTTTATCTGACTATTTGGACCTAGCATTGGAGATACCCACCAAAGGAAAATAGATCCTTTTTATTAAAGGAGGAAGAGAATCAAGGTGAAAAAGAAAGCATGTAAGACATACAAAAATGGAAAATTATCTGTTGATAATACTGTGTATGATAGTATTTTTAACTGGACTACTGTGCACTTTATTTATGTAATGATATACAGTGGCTAAATGTATAAAGATAAAGAAATAAAAATTAAAAAATAAATAATTTTTGAAAGACTAATGGTTTCTAAACCACTAAGAGGCCAGTGTAACTTTCTCCAAATACATTTTTCTGGAAACACTATGTTTGAATCCTTGATATTTAAGAGTAAGTCCCAATTATATGAACAAATGCATGCAAACTATAGACCTGTTACACATCCTGTCAGTAAAACTATGAAATCAAGATGAAAGCCCTTTAAAATTAAAACTATATAAATAAAAAAAAAAGTCTCTTTACAACTTCATTCCACTTATAAAGAAAATGCTTGGACATTTTTAAATTTTCACACTTCAGCTTAGCAAATAAGGCACAGTGAGAATTTTATAGACAGGAATTGGTGATCTATCTAGAACATCCCTAACAATATGTATACAGAAATGGCATCTATTCTTACCAATTTCACCAACTTTACCAATTGTTAGCAATTCTCAGAAGAAATCTAAATTTCTAAAGGGTTAGTTTGGCAATATTCCTTCCTTAGCAAAAGTAAAATCAATTTAATTGCAGAGGATAACTGTTCTCATTGAAGCTTGGCAGAGTAAATTATTCCATCAAATCACTGTCAATCTATTTTCTTTTTTAATCCTTATTTTTCTGCTCTACCTTGTGCCACCCAAAAGAAGGCTATTTCTCTATGGGTTGGTAAAAGTTCTAAACAGTAGAATAGATAGGGCAAGTCTGCCTCTTAATTAAACAAGTACAGGTTCATGGTTCTTAAGAGAAAGCAAGACCAAATGTTCCTGACAAAACATCCTAAGTTAAATAAACAAGACACAATTTAGTTATATTTAAAGACTACCCTTGTGAGTTCATTTAATAACATGAAAAACACCTTTAATAGCATGCCATTCACTTTTACACAGATTACAAATGCTTCCTGATGCAGGAAGATTCCATAACTGATATGATTAGACAACACAATGAGAATTAAAGTTTTTATGTGCTATCCTGGGCAAGATCACATGCAATTCAAGACCTTTGAAAAAACTCTTTCTTAGGTGTGTATATTAATTTACTACTATAGTAGTCTCTCCTTATCTGTGGAGTATACATACCAAGACTCCTCACCCTATTTATGTGTGCCAGAAACCACAAGGTTGTGTGTGTGTGTGTGTGTGTGTGTGTGTGTGTGTGTGTGTGTGTAGGGTTGTCTGCAAAGTCATGATGCATTTTTGCATAGAAAAACAAAGAAAAATACGTCATGACTTTCCCGACATATATATGCACACACACATACACACACTATGATACATATCATATGATAAAGTTTAATTTATAAATTAGGCACAGTAAGAGAGTAACAACTAATAATGAAATTTAAAAATTATAACAATACGTTGCAATGAAAGTTATACGAATGGGTACAGCATTACTGTAAAGTGCCAACAGAAAGAGTAAAACGTTCTCCACGTATATTTTCCTCTGACCTATTGCCATCAACTAGGATGTTTGGGAAGAATCTCTTTTCTCTCCTCATCACTACATCAGTAGAGTAAAAACACTTGTTTAACCACGTAAAGTAACACCACACTGGAGCTAAGTAAGAGCCGTAGGGCTTTTCCCACTTTGGCAAAAAACCCAAGAAGCAAGATTGGTCATTAAGTGATAATTAAGCATTAGCATTTAGGCAGAAACATTCTTATATTGTCACAAAAACAATGTTAGATAAAACCCACAGCATTATTTCCAGCCAGATTTTGAGCCAGGAAATTCTTTTCAGAGGTGTTTCCTTTTTGGGTTTTCCCAATTTGTAATAAAATTAGAGATCTATCAGCAATAAGATTTTAAATATTATGTTTTAAATATTACTTTCTATGTAAGCTATATGATTCAAAATAGAATACAAAATTTTCAACCCATCTTAACTGATCTGATAAATTGTGCCCCAAGAGTCAAATTAGCATGGTCTGAAATATACTTAAAATTTGTAATAGTACCAGCCACACTAGCACACTGGTAGACACAGGCTGAGGCCACATGGGAAGCTTGATTTTAGTTTCCTGCCCTCCTTAAAAGTCAGGAACAGTGGCACATGCCCGTGAGGAGGACTGAGATATCAAGAGACTCTACCTTTTAAAAAAAAAGGCCAAAGTACAAAAGTAAAAATAAAATCTTGATATCAAATCTCTGTATAGAGCATATTGATCAGTAGCACTCAGGTGAGGACTAATATTTAGAAAGTGGTCTTATATAATAACTATTCTGTTCATTGTAAACCATTGATTTAAAAAAAAAAACTAATTCACACATTCACATCCATATACACTCTCAGACACACATACACATATGTATAAGAAAAACTTACACAATTTCATCATTCTGGAATTCCAGCTCTCCACACGTGTCCTCAAAGTCCTCCCCTCCACCTCTGGCAGTTCCTTCGATGGTTTTGTAGGGAACGATAACATTTCCTCGAGCTCCAGATGTTCTCAATACTTTCACTTCCATGATGCCAATGCTCTCACTCACATGGGTCACGGGTTCCTCAAAAGTAAAGATGCCTGCGTGGTCATCATCAAAAATAGTCACGGTGGCAGTGCAGGGAGACCCGAGGCAAGCAAGCGTAGAAACATGATTGGCTTCTAGTATGCCATCTTCTGAAGCTTCAGAAGATACCCTGACATTACTGAGATGCACAAGAAAATTTTCATCCTCCTCAAAGATATCATCATCGATGATGCCAACTCGGATTTCCTTCTGGGTCTCACCAGGCTTAAAGACCACAGTCCCTTCAGTAAATTCATAATCAGACCCAGCATTGGCTGTGCCATCCTCTGTTCTGAAGTCAACGAACACAGTGTTGGTCAAATCCCCACCTCTGCGGATGATGGTCAGGGCCACAGTACCACAGTTCTCCAGACACTGGTATGTCCCTTGTTCAAAAAAGATCTTACTAACAGGGTCATTTTCAGCCACTTCTGTGTTGACCTCATGCATGCTGACAGCCTTCCTTGCTTGGTCAGCGGCATGCCTCTTCAAAATGTTGCCAGCTCCTGTCATCAGGCGAGTAGCTTGAATGCGGTAAAATGCTCTACTTTTTTGCTGCTGACTTAGGACCTGGTAGTTAGCTAATTCAATTAATTGCTCTATTTCTTTATCTGGATGCTTCTGCTTAAGTTCTTTCAGAATCCTAGCCATTTCTCGCCTAGCCTCTTCATCATCTTGGTCCCTCTCATCAACCTCCAGAACCAGAGCTCCATCTAAGAAATTGTCAACATGAGAATTGACCACCTTCCCATCCATTTCAATTTCCGTCTTGGAAGATGGCCTGTCACCTTCATGTTCAATAATCATTCCCCTCTGCTTGCCAGCCCGATACTTCTTGTAGACATACTTGTAAAATAGAAGCCTCCTATCTGCCACCCAAGCAAACACCACACAGATGGGGAAGAAGAAGAAAGTAAGTAAACCTTCCCAGACCTCCACAACACCAGGGGAGATGACAGACAAAATAATGTAAAGCCAGGTGTAGGCAAAGATGCTCCAGGCTGCCGTCACAAAGAACACACGCAAATGCTTGATCTTCCTTGTCTCTCCATCAGGGACCACATACACACAAAGTGCAATAATGATGAACATATTAAATGCAGCACTTCCCACGATGGTGCTAGGACCCAGGTCTCCTGCAGTGAAGTTATGGCCACACACTTCAATGACTGAAAGGAGAATTTCAGGAGCAGAAGATCCCAAGGCCATCAAGGTCAGGTTAGAAACGGTCTCGTTCCAGATCCTCACAGTCGTCTTGGTGGTCTCTCCATTAGGTTTCTTTATGGTTATTTCTTTTTCTTGAGATGTGATGACTTCTATAGAGGACATGAAGCGGTCGGCTATGATAGAGACTCCAAGAAACATGTAGACCATGGCCACGAAGTACACAGTAGCTCTAGCAATTTTGTCCCCAAAAGAAGGGTCTTGGGGTTCCCAAATGGGTAAAATCACCCCTTTTTTACAGTAATAGGACCCAGTACATTCACCAGTTGCATTTCCTTCTCCTTCCATTTCCGTCTCAGCATTTATATGGTCCACATGGGAAAATAAAAGAGCCACAATGGCTAACAGATGAAATCCCATGGAAAAGGTGGGTGAGAGACTTAATCGCAGCATTTTGTACAATGAGCTTCCAACTGTCACAACCTACTGGTAAAAATAAGATGGGGAAAGAGGGTAGAGGGAAAAAAAATTGCATTATTAGAGCCACATCCCAAAGCATGATTAATTACGTATTTCTATTATTATTTGCAAAAATCTGTTTATATTTGAGCACCACAAAAATCTACGGTGAATCATTATTCTAAGAATCCATCAGTGATTAAGCAATCCTTTGTAAAGTTTACAACTTAAGCTCTCTGTTTGTGAATTTTCTACATGTAGTTTTCATTCACTGAACAGGATCCACAGTTGACTTACTGGAAATGAAAAGTTCAATTATAGGCTTGCCTTATTAAGTACACATTTATGCATGCTAATACCCAACAAGATAAAAAAAAAATCAAAACACTTCTGAAGCATTAATATCCTTCTTATTGCTAAAGCAGATTTTCTTTTAAAATTTGGTTAGCAATACATCATCTTCCAGAAATTGTTTCATTGCTAAAAGCACCTTATTAAGATTAATGTTTTTGAAATGCAAACTCTGAAACATCCCACCAACACAAGCCATGATGATGTGATTGTGTTCAATTCTGGAGTTTACCCTATACTGTGTTTCATGAAATCATGTCCTATTATTCCACACTTACTTGGAAGGATAGAAAAGTCTCCAAGATTGCCTGCTATTAAATCTCAGTTGTGGCCCAGCCTCCATGGTAGTTAGTAGCTTACTGAACTGTGGTGCTGGAAGCCTCTCGGCTGACCACAGGTTCAGATCCCCAGCTCAGTCATCTTGAAACACATCTGACATCCACATGTGTCCAAGATCCTGCTGAGTTGGAGGACTGAGGAGGGGATTGTAGTGTGACAAATCCTATTGAGGGTGATTCTCTCTCTCCCTCTGTGCACACATATACACTATCATTAATAAAACAAAGAAAGTTGGGTTTATTTTAAAATCTCAATAGTATTTGTTGAGAGGGAAAAAAATCTGCTTTAATGCAGTATTTCCGCACATTAAGTACAGTTTTTAAAAGCATATTCTGATGAGAGCACATTTCCTCCTAATTTCCAGCAAGTGCAGGTCTCCTGATACATTAGCAGCTGGGCATCTGGTTCTTCCAGCATAGTTATTCACATCTGTGTACAGAGACTGCTTTAGAATCTGCAGGCTATTCACAACAGGGAAGGGAGATAACCAGGCCCAGGCCTGGTTGTGTGTTAGGGCCTGGCAGACTGTGAAATCAGCCATAAAATGTTCCATCTTGGTGTCGGTTATACCTTCATACTTTCCATGGTCATTCTGAAACACACATCAGTTCTGTAGAGGGTTCAAGTGACCGAAAAATACAGAAGCAATAATTCCATCCAAATTAGTTCATGTGGCACAACCACAGTGACCACAAAGTATACCTATGAAAAAAAGCTGAGAGCAGTTAAGGGTATGGCAACAAAGTCACTGAGCTTTAGCATAAAGGCTGGTAAATAAAGCAGTAGACTGAGCCCCCATGGCCCTAAATTCAGGCACCAGCTCAAGCAAAACTCAGCACAGACCTTGTATCACCTCCAGGGCTTGGGGTAGTGTCAGTGGGGCACTGAAGTGCACAAAGGTCTGTTTCAATTCAGGGGAATTCTGATAAGGAAAGCTTTGCAAAAGGGACCAGTTATGACATCAGATAAAGCAGTAGTTGGAAGGGGTCTAAGTCAGAACTCAGTCTATGGACTGGAAAAAGTTAAAACAGGAGCTGGGTTAGAGGTTTTCATGGCTTTAAGCTGGCTGTGAGCTGCATTATATTCACCTGTGTTCCCAGGCTCTACTGAACATGGGCACCAGGGCCTAGGCGAAGCCCCTACCCAGCACATTCTGGCAGCTCTCAGAGATTCCACTATGCTCTAAAGCCCTTTTTAGCTACTCACTATCAAGAAATAAGCCTCTTTGACATTTTTCTCATACTAAAGATCAGTAGAGGGCTATAGCGGTAGACTTCCAGTCCAAGTAAAAGGCTAAAAAATAAACAAAACACATTTTCAACATATGCAAAAGATCATAGACAGCATGTTTGCTCAGTCACTGCAGGGCTTGAGTGGGTTATAGGGTCTCTGCAGAAAGAAGGTTACATTCAACCAGCATGCAAGAATTGTGGAAAATCTAACTCCAACTCCCTTATGCATCCATTTAGCCCATATATTTATGAACACACTATGTCTGCATTAGAATGACTTCCTGGCTCTCCCAGGTCCTGAGAATTCACCAATGAACAAAACACAGTCTGTCTACACCAGGCTTACAATCTAACAAAGAAGAAAAATAAATAAATAAATAGAAATGTTAGGTGGCAAAGAGTGTTATAGTGGGTTGGGGAAAGAAAACAACCTAAAGAGAACAGGGAGTTTGTGGGTGCCAGTGCACGCACATACATGGCACACATGACTTTATGTTGGATGGTTTAGGAAGGCGTCTCTGAGAAGGTAATACTTCAGGAAAGTCTTAAAAGATGCAGGGGGTCAAGCCTCATGGATACAGGCTAGAAGAGAACACCAAGCAAGTGGTCCTGATTAGAATATTGCTTGGCACAGTCTATAACCACAGAGAAAGCAGGGAGGCAAGAGGTTAATGAACCAAGAGGAGAGCAAGGCTCAGGAGTGGGGATGCAGTGGGATGGATCATGAGGTTACCGTGACTCTTGTGATCCGTCTGGATCCACTCATTGGGAATAATGTGGAAGTTATGGGGAGGTTCCTATCACATGTGATATGATCTTATTTTCCATTCAGAAGAATCCATTAGTTTCTGTGGAGAAAAGACTGTAGGGAGAAGGTAGCAACCAGTAGATAAGCTTTTGGCTATTGTAATAAAAAGTGATTTAGAAATGATCCCAATGCCTAGAAGACATACAAAATGGTAGAGAAGAGATCTGACATTTAAAGAGAAACATTTATAGTGACCCTCTTGGAAGACCTACAACTTAAAATGTCTGGAGGACCTCTAAGGATCAGAAAGGTTAAATATTTGTAATAAATAGCAGAGCCACACAAAAACACAGAAAAGAGTCAAACTTGTTTCTGTCTCTAAAATGAATATAATTAAATTAGTATAATTAACTACTTCCTTCAAATTACTACCACATCTTATCATTCTATTCTTCACATTTCAGCCATAATGAACTTCCTAAAATGCAGATCAATACTCTCACCCCTCTTAAAGCTCTTCAATGGTTGCCTACTGCCCTGAGGACAAACTCCCAACCTCTCAATAGGCTGTTTATGATATTTATGATCCAACCACTGAACACCAGAATACAGAAATTCTTTTACATTCCCTGAACAAAACAGCACTTTCTTACCTCCAAACCTCTGCAGATTGTTTTGTCTGTGCCTGAAACTATTTGTTTTCTCCTTCATAGAAACAACTTTCAAAATAGCACTACGGCAAATAATAGTCAATTGCCAGAGAGAATAACAACACTAGATTCCATTCTTAAACACTGCAGTACACACCATGCTAAATTCTTTATGTGTATCAATTATATCTAATATTTCTAATAATGACGATTACTGTGTTACACAGCTCACGATGTTTCTATTTCTGTTATAGTTCACATGAACAGCAACCTCTGGAGCTGTGCAATGTACCTTGCCCTAAAAACATATGTTAAGTATTATTATGTACTAGGCATTATTAGCCCATTTTGGATGTGGGATAACTGAGAGGAAGACAGATTAAATCATTGTAGAAATGTATACATGAACTCCTGAACTAAGATTCAAATCCTGGTCTGTTTCCCAGACTGATATAATTGGTTATCCCATTATTTCATCCCTAAATGTGTGAAGTAATCTTAGAGAATGATTAGACTTAGGTTTGGACAAGTCCATTGGAAAGCCTCTTGGCTTCAATATAGGATTAGGAGGCTGCAGTTAGCAAAAGTCTTGAGGAAGGTTTCCAACAGCCTGGCTTTTATCTTATGGAATAGAACTCAAACAGACTTGCACCAATAACTATGGTGTAACATGTGAGCTGGCATGTTCCTAGAGAGAGCTGTCCTTCACTCTCTGGTCATTTAGCAATTGCCTGGCAACCTCTCCTTTCACGCACTGTTAGGATGATCTCTCAGGGCAACCAAGAATAAGCCCTGCGCTCCATCCCTGCCCTAGCCTACATCTCATAATATGTTCTTAGCTGAAAGTGTATTAAGTGTATAAAGGGAGATGGATTAGTATAAATCCATCATCACTATTAAAGAAAAAGCAGAGGGACTTCTGAGGTTAACTAAAAGCATCACAATTATACTCAAAAAGGAGACAAAATTATAATTTGTGAAATCAATTGGACACGAAACACTGATGTAACTTATTGGCAATGAAGCAACTGCACAAACTCTCTGGAATTCAATTTCTTTCTTTATTAAATTACTACCAAACCAAATGCATGTGAGAATATGTGATAGGTATTATTTAAATATGAGTTCCTTCTTTATCCTTTTGTCTCTTTTCTGTTATGGTCTTTCTCTCATCATGAGAGTCCAACAGTTCTACCTAACCCACCTTGTCTTGCTCTCAAATATGTATTTCCATAAAAATTAATCAGGAAGAGGGACCAGCAGTTAGCATAATGACTATGTCGCTGGACTCCCACGTGGCCGATTGCGGTGTGCATCCAGGATCCGGTGGCTTAAAACTCATGCCGGGCACGTATGCGTGCGTGTCCAAGATCCCAAGAGGAGAACGGAGGAGAAGGGATTGCAGCATGGCCATCCCCCCTGGGGGGTGATTTCCTGCTTTCTGTCTCTCTGTCTCTCTCTGTCTGGCTGGCAAGCGTACGCGCCCTATAGCAAAAAACCTCTCAAAAAAAAATTAATCAGGAAGATAAGAATAAAGGCTGCATGGGACCGGCAGATGATTTAATGGTTATATTCCTGGACTCCCATGTCGTTGACAGTGGTTCAAGTCCTGGACCCTGTGGCTTAAAACATGCTGGACGTATGTGCATTTGTGTCCAAAATCCAAAGAGGAAAATGGAGAAGAAGGGATTGCGGCATGGCCATCCC